TATTACTGCTCGTAAAATGGGAATACAAAGCTTTCGCCTCACATGACGCAAACGTTGCGTTCGCCTTTGATATCTTCGCAGATGTTGAACACTTGTTCTCAGATTGAGTATTACGAATGCCGAACTGAGTATTATGAATTCTGAACTTGTGGACGGAGCAAGCCTTTGGCAATATTCCACTTACATATATGTACATATGTCCAGCTTATCGGTCAATCGCAAATTTAAGCAGACAGGTTTCGAAGAGAAAAGTACATATATCATATATACAAAATATATATATTATAGATGTGTGCGTATTTCAAGTTTTACACAGCTTTATAATTGACATTTGAGATTTATATATAAATAGCTTTTATATATGTATGCACTCTGTCTTGTTTTGTATAAATGCATATTTAATAATGCGTAATTCCAATTGATAATGCGTCGCAGTTGATATTTTTAGGCAATCTTTTATATTGTTTTTCATTCTCTGTCGGAACATCGCATTTATTTTATCACTTTGCTTAAGAGCCCAAAAATAACTCTATATCTATGTAAATATGTATGTAATTATGTGTGTGTCTTTAGGGCTGTGTCACTAGGTCAAGCCTCAATCAATGCTAAGCATTGTCAATCAATCGATCAGCGATTACAAGAAACTCTGTCACAATCAACGCAATTTAAATATTCACGCAACGTTCAACAGCTCTCAACGTGCAATGAACTTTAATCAGAATTTATGTTAAAATTAAATTCATATGTATGTATTTATTAATAAGAAAGTACTAAAAGCTAACACTTATAACTAATATTAAAAGCATCAATAGCCTCAGCCGCCGTCTCTAGTTCAACTTACGCCTCTGCCTGTGCCTCTATGCCTAAGCCTCTTCTGCCTCTGTTTCTAGCTCTGCTTTTGCTGCTGCTTCTGCCAATGCCTATAGCTGAGCTTAGGCCTCTGCCGCCGTCTTAAGCTCTGCTTTTGTTTTTGCCTATGACATTGTCGCTGCTTTTGCCTCTGTCTCTCCCTCTGTTACAGCCTATGCTAATGCCTCCATCCCTTTCCCTCATCCTGTAAGCTGTTGCAACGCTAAAAATACACAGCTTAAATCACAGTTGGTTACTGGGTCCTCTCTTTGTTGTTGTTCTTGCTGCTTTTTGCTTTTACTGCTCTTGTTGTTGTTGTTTTTAGTGCTGAGCGAAGTTCTCCAGCAATCATGCAGCGAGAGCATGTCACCCAGCAAAAGCAACTCCCCAGCCAACCCACTCTCTGGCGCTCAGCACTCTCGATGCCCACTCTCGGTGGCTCTCTCTCTCTCTCGCTCTGTCTTCTGTATTTGCTGCCCACCCTCTGCTGTTAGAGCATTGGCATTTTTGTTTACAAACAAACTGTCAGTTGCTGTGTTTGACCTGCGCAGTGCCCAACTTTCTGCACACACGCACGCACACATGTTTAACTGTGTATGTGTGTGTGTTTTCACTGCAATTATGTACATGCATGCATGCGTGTGTGTACACAGTAACAGTAACTTCCGCATACAAAAAGTGAGCCGACCAAAAAGCAAATGTTTCTGCCTGTGTTTTTGGGGGTCACCTTAGCTATTCGGCGGCTGATTTATTTTGGAGAGCTCGCATACACGCATATGTGTATATACATATGCATGTATGTATGTATATGTACAGGTATATTTATTTCTATTGCGTTTAATTTAGGCTGCAACTTATCGATTAATGCTATTTATGTTGTTGTTGCTGTTGTCGCTGCAAATGCCAGTAGAAAATGTACACGTCAGCTGAACGCATATGTAACAAAAAAATAAACAACCCCACTGTAAGGCATCTCAAGCTGGGAAGGCAGTCCCGGGCTGGAGCGGGCAGTGCTGCGCAGTTAGCAAATGTAAATGTAAATTGCAACCCAACTGCCCCTACCTGGGTGACAGTCTCTATAGAATTATGACGTCATCAATTTGTGTAAAAGAAGTTGACAAATGAAGAAGTTGACATATGAAAAGTTATGTTTAGATATACCACAGAAAGAGAGAGAGAGAGAGATGCGGGTTTTTCTATTATTTTGGTAACGACGCACACGGGGAAAATTCACTTTCCCTAATCTTTGTTGTTGTTATTGTTGCTGATGTCATAAGTTAGCTGCGTTGAAAGGATATGCCTGTCAGGACATGCACGGCCAGGCACCAAGCCGAGGACAAAGGCAATCGAACCCAAAACAGAGCAAAACACTTGATGACTTTTGTTTGGCTCTGAGTGTGTTTGTGTGTGGCTGTGTAACTGATAGGCATAATTACAGTTACAATATAGTAGAAAGAGATGGAGATTACACATGAGTGACTGCAAACATACTCTGCTTGCTATTTAGAAATAAAAAATATTACTATTCGGATTTGTGAGCAGGTTATTTAGGTTAGGGTATTCCGAATCTGTATTCATATATTCTCTGACTCTATACTATACCCCCTTTGTACAGGGTATACAAAGTCGTTGACTAGCTATCGAATGATTGTTTGTGAATTATCCAGGGGCAAGGGTCTGTTCGCAATGCGTGCCATTTGGAGATTAGCTGACTAAGAAAGCCGCTTTGCCGCCCGACTCTACCTGACTTGCTGTTATTGTTATTCTAGTTGTTGTCGACCTGTACAGGTAGCGTCGACAAACTGCCGCGTCAGCGCTAACTGCACTAATGAAAGCCACTAATGCGCTCTAATGATGACTTAATTGTTTAACTGACTTTCTATGTCAAGCCCAAGGGTCTAAGCCCAAGGCACGACTAGACTGGACTAGACCAGACCAAAAACGCAGTCAGCGCGCCAAATAAGGCAAAAACTGGTTCAAAAATAGTTAACAAGCGAATTGGTGGTAGTCGAAACAACTACAGTGAGAGAAAAGAGCCTAAACTTACATGAGGAAACTTTCCCAAAAGAGGATAGCTTATATGCAGTTGTTGACCTGTCTAGGATATTCTAATTTAGATATTCTAAATAAGTTTCAGTTTCATTATTTATGTTATAGAAATTTACATAAAATACATCATAATTTCTCTTAGTGCAGCTGCATTTGCTGTTACCCTTTGCTATGTTTGCCAATTAAAGAGATGCCCGCAGTCAGATTCGACTGCGGCTCGTTAGTTCAAGTCCAAGTCGTGCCTGGGCTGGACCAAACCAAAATCCAGTTGCCAGACTCGAGCGACTTGCTCGAACCAACTCGAAACAACCTGAAGACACACAGGCACACACAGCCATGCACACATACATACATGCACACAGCATCAGCTGTTTGTTGTTTATGTACGTTTTTTTTTTGCTCATATAAACATTTTGCCTTTGCAACTTGATTTATTGCCGACTCGCTCTAACACCCAGGTGAAAAATCAGCCAAAAAACGAAGATAAGTACAATAAGTAGAAGAAAAACGTAGAAGCCGAAGCAACAGAAAAAAAAACAATGAGATGAGCCTGCAAGACCTGTTCTCTGGCTTATTGTGCACTTTTGTGTGATTCACTTGCCGAGACTGCGTGATTGGGTTTTCATTATATTTATTTCTTGTAATTTATTTTTTTGTTTAGGTATCTACGCAGATCCCTTTGATATACCCTCATCAAGCGAAAAGGTTGTGCTCATCATATATTTTATTATATATATTTTTTTGCGGTCTGTGCTTCGGCTTTTCTTCGTGCTATACCAAAAGAAAATTGTATTGAATATTCTTGTGTTTTTTTTTTTTTTTTGGCTCAGATCCAATATTTTCTTTCTTACACATTTCAAATATCATTTGAAAATCAAATAGCGAACAGCTGACATGGTTTTCAAATATTTTTGAACATAGGCGAAGAATTTCAAATACATTTGTTTAAATGAAAAGCGAATTTATGAAGATTATATTATAGAAAATGAAAATAATCAATAATTAATAATGATTTTTAGTAATTAATAAAATTGATGAAATCATAATTGATTATTGTATTGTATATTCTTTCTAAGTTTTTATTCACAATAATTAAGAAATGACTATGTTTTTTTATTTAAAATAAAAAAAAAAGAAATACATTCTAAAGCACTAAAATATAAAAAGCAAAGTAAAATTGACTAGAGAAATAGTTGACGTGACTTTTACATATGTATATTTATCAAATTCGCAACAATTTAGAAATTTTTGTAAGGTCAAAATAATTTATAGAATTGAATGGCATAAGCAATGTTATTTTTATATCATCAGGAAATGCATCTAGAGGCTAATCAGAATGGCAATAAATTATTAAACAATTTCAAAATCATTTTAAAAGTATTTTCATCTGTACTCGGAAGTATTAGGGATTTTTCTATTAAAGCTGCGTGAAGTAAAGCTAGACTTTTTCCAGTAAAAAGAACTAAGAAATGTTAAGTCATTTCCACAAAAAAAAAGAGACGAAGACATTTGATAAGCATCTCTGTTAAAGCTGAAATCGTGCTGCAAGTTTTATTTATGGCTAATCGAAACACAAAAACAATGCGAGATGCACGTCGAAAGCAAGATTTGCAGCTAAAGATATGGCATAGGCTATAGGGTATACACACACACACACACACACACACACACAATGGTATGTAGAACCTTTTGCGCTGACAGGCCAGACAAGTTCTGCACAGGTCACACACATAAATTTAGATATGTGTGCATATGTATATGTGTATGTATTTATATAAACAAAGTGTGAACTCTGCGAAGGTGCAATCAGAATTTTTTTTATGCTGCGCTTGGCTGCGCTTTTTGTATGTAAATCGTGCATAAAACAAATTTGTATAAAATATATACTTGTATACACATGTATGTACATGTGCATATTTAAATACATTTCCAATATAATGCGCTCTGCTTCTTACGCTTCCTCTTTCTTCCTCCTTCTCTTCAGCTTCTATGCCATTTTATGTTGACTTCCGCAAAACATTTGCCTCTGGCTTTGCTTGTGTTTTTGCTTCTGCTTTTGCTTTTATACTTTTGTGTTTGTATTTGTATTTGTGTACACTTACTTTGCTGCCCCTTTAGCTTTATTGATCCGCTGCAATCTAAGGTCCTTTTGGCTGCACACAAAAAATCACTTTGAGAGTTTAAAATGTTCTTAAGCTGCTGCAAAAATGTTGCACAATGCTTGCTTGAAGCTTAGATAATCTACGAAAAGTTTCTTAATTAAATATTTAATTTTTCAATGAGTGGGGTGAGTTTTTTGTTTTTTTGTTTTGTATGCTTAGTAGAAACAAGACGAACAACACAAACTCCGGATGACGTTTGCTAACGACGACTGACGGCGAGCGAATGAAGAAGAGGCAACTCAGCTGCCCAGTCAACGGTGCTGGTCGGGCTGGTGGTGGTGTTGGTGGTGCTGGTGGCTCTACAGCTGAGCTCGGCACAGTTACCCTGATATGACTGCCTTTGCCACTGCCACAAACGCTGCTGCGCCTGTGCAATACAGAATAAAGATGACTAACGAAATACCCTAAACAAAATAAATGGGCTAAAGCGAATTAATTTCACCTATAAGTAAAATGCATATATTCTTATATATCTCTACATACTCTAAAATTAATATGTATAGGCTTCAAATATTTACAACTACATATATTACTATAAAATGACAGACAAACAAAAAAGTTAGGGTATTTCTTCAACTTGCTACTAACTATGATGGCAATTGTATTCTCATTGCTTCGTTCATTTCGTCTCACGTTCTCTCTCGCTCTAACACTCTCTCTGTCTGTCTGTTGCTCTCTGCAGCAAACAATTAGCAGCTGACTTTTGTTTGTATACAAAAATCATATTGCAACCAATGAGCGAGAATGAGAGTGAGAAACTGGTTTGCTGTGCAGACCGTATTACATACAATAGGGTATATACTATATAGGCAAAAATAAAAGAGTCGTAAGCAAAACTTGATTTGCAGAGCGAAGGACTTCAAGTATTGAAATTAGTTACAATGTTGGGTATTACAATTGTCAGTTCTTTGTTAATATAGTATGGCCAATTATTTTCAATATTTCATGAATGCTCAATATTACACCATCAATGGTTTTTTTTTTATAACATCAATTCACCTAATTTTAACTTTACATTCAATTTCTGAAAATCTTTTACGGTCAATATTCTAATAGTTATAGTCAGTAAGCTAAAAATTTACACACAATTTAAATTTAACAGACAATTAATTTGGCCTGCGCATATTTGAGTAATCTGTTAAACATTTTGCTGTTAACGCAAAATCGAGCGTCATAATGCAGATATCAATGCTCACATCGATAACCGTTATCGATAACAAACATCTGTAGCTTCTGCACGTGTTGACGTTTCTGCAACGCAAATTAAATATATTTTGCCGATTCTTAATTATATAGCATAATGGGACGCCAAAATCGTTCGCGCAAACGCCGCGATGAGATGAACAAAATCAAGAAGGCGCGCTATGACGCGAAAGAGCTAATACGCCTGAAGAAGACATTGGGACTGCTGGATGCAGATGGCAAGGAAATCAAGATGGAAATTGGTGAAGTTGCCGAGATTAAGACAGCTAAAGAAATTAAGAGAGTAAGCTAAGATTAAGAGAAATATATAGTGCTAATATGAACTATAAACAAATCTCCAACAGGCAGCTAAGACCAAGGAGGAGCAGGAGCTGATGTACGAGCATCAAGAGAAAATGGAGAAGGGCCAAAAGATCGTCAGAGTGAACGAGAAAACCGGTGTGGAGCACGTTTTCAATAGCAAAACACTCAAAGATCAATTCGGCAACTATCCTGAGTGGTTCAAGCGAAAGAAGACAGCGAAGCGTCTACGCAAGAAGCAGCATGCACAGAAGAAGAACTTCAAGCAGGCTTGGACAACGGTCAATGTGCCGTTATAAAAGGGAGAGCCCACCACGCCTCGCCCTACCACGCCTAGTTATTAAGTATATAGCATATAGTTAAAGATATGTTTAGAGTCAACTTCATAACTGTTAGCAATAGAACATTTTATATTGCATATTAAAAAACCTTAAAATTACACATGAAACTTTAAGCTTAAGATAATTAGAAGTAAATCAATGGATATTTATAGAAGCTATTTGCTAGGTATATATATATGTTTATAGGTAAGCTACTTGGTAACCGTCATGGATAAAACAACAATCAACGCTTAAACTATTTCCGAGACAGATAAAGAGATGTAAGAACAGAAATTTGAAGAAGGGAAACGATTTTTAGAAGCTTTTGCTAAATGGCACAGAATAACAAAATATTTTGGTTGAGAATTTAATACTAAACAAAACTGGGGATTCATAAATCGCACAGAATATTTTGCGACCTTGTAGTATTCTCTTTAAAAGGTTGTTTCGCCTGGTAGCTTCTGTTCATCTTAAACAAGAGAAGAGTACAGAGAATCAGAAGATGGGAGAACATATCGATTATCATCAGCAGACTTTCCTGCATCTCCTTAACTAGCTAAGACAATGGATTGAAGAAGAGCACATCGAAGAACCTGCTTCTTTCGTTCAAGATCTTACATTAATGACTCTACCAAATGGGAACATTCATTGAAGAAGAAATAATACGAATTTCTTCTTCAGTACAAAAATTTTTCCTTAGTGTAATATTCATCTCGGTTTACCGAAATGAATCAAATAATTTGGAAATGCTGATTCTCTCTTAATAAAGATCTCAGAGCGAGATTCAAATAGATCTAAACGTTTTCTAAACTTAAACCAAATAGAAATTGCACAGTAACTTCTCAGTTGTCTTTCTGCTTCTGCTGCCTCACAAACAAATTCAAGGACTTTCATCCTTCCACTTTTTAGCTACGCCCTCACTGTATGTTACAATAGCTGCGCACACTGCATATGACGCCTGTGGTGGCTGCCTCCAGACGGAGCCTGTTGCCTGTCCACATGGTCGTAGTTGCCAAGACCCCGGAATTGCTTCTTGGTCATTCGGACTTCTCGGCCAGCTCGAGAGTCTCGGTGGAATCGTTGCCGTCCTCCAGCTGTTGTGCCTGCTGCTCCTCGATGTTGCCGTGCATCACATTCGGATTGCTCTTCAGCACAGATCCGCCAGTGAATCCCAGTATGCCACAGCCAACGGCGGCGAGACTACCTGCCTTTATGCCAGCTACCAGGCCAATGGGACCACCCACACAGGTGCCTAGCAGAGCGCCCACAACCGGATACATCGCCTTCCTGTAGGTCAAGGCATTTCTTAGCTGTTTCTCGCCCTCGATTACATTCTCCAAAGCTTCCTCTGCATTGTCTGCTATAGACTGAACGCTATTTGCCTGCTCCTGCGTAAGCTCTCGCATGTTATGGAACATGCAATTGAGACTATAGATTTCATGCTGCAGCTGCTCCATTTGCTCCAGACAGGATTGCCTCTGTAGCAGCTGATGCTCCTCCAGCTGGAAATTTGTTTGCAACTGCGGTAGAGTATGCTGCAGAGCGGGCACATTATCTATGTCCACCAACGAATGATTATCCTGATCGTCATCCTGCTGGACGTTGGGCGTTTTTAGCTTCAATTCTGTAAGCAAATATAAGATGTTTTGGAAAGGTCAAGAAAATATGGATACACAACCGAAGTCAATTGAGTAACTGACCTATGCGAACTATACTTATTCAAGGTCAATTGCTTTTAAGCTTCTCATTGATAAATAAATTGCTTTAAAAACTCTTGGCTCACCTAAAAACTTCTTCATGCCCTCGAAAGCCCGATCCTTGCCCGCCTTCATCAAGTTATCGAAACGCTCCTGATCCTCCTCTCGCAACTTCTCGCGCAGTGCATCCATTTCTAGCAGTAAGTTTTTAATCTGTTTAATAACACGCATTGCATTTAACTCTTCCTTTTTGATCTTGTGCCAATCGCCCAGAGCGAGGCTCTTCTCAATGTTGCTCCGATGATTCTCGAGCAGACTCATGTGATGGGGCACAGCCTGCTCCTGGAAGCGCTGCACTGACACCTCGGCCTGCTTCAGCGTGAGTTTATCGTCCACCATCTTTACACTTTGTACTGCAAATTGTCAATGAATTGATTGTGAGGGCGATACCCACATCCAACTTGAAACCACTAAAGCCACACGAAGATCTGTTTTGGATCTCTCCTCGATGTCTGATTTTGCGGTTGAATCTTAACTTTTACTGTCCCTTTCCACGCTATCGTTGTCACACAACAGCTGTTTCGATTAAATGTGTGGATTACTAATGCATACTTGATATTGCGACTAATTGCAATTTCTTTTGTTTTGGTTTCAGCTGTTTTTCATGGCAAATATTTCAGAGTGCGCAATATGCGGGTGTGCTCTCTTTGCGCTCCAGCAATGTGACGTCATAAACAATTGACAGTATGGGAGAGAATATGTAAACATAGCCAGCTCTCTGTATTCAATGTCAATTGTGAAGCTAGTAATAGTAATACTAGTGAACAGCAATAGGAAATATAAATAGCTCAAAATAATATTAGTTTAATTGAAATGTTTTACTGAGCATAACTGCTCTCCATTTTGTCGGATTTGTGCAGCAATTTATTCTGTCTGACCTTAGCACGCACTCAGCCCTGCCAGAAAACAGTGCTGCCCACTCAATAAAAGTGCTCACCTTGCACTGCTCTTGCTAGTGGCAACGCTGCAATGTTAACTATACAGAATGTCAACCGCGCAGACAACACATAGCGTGCACTGTTAACTTAACAGCATTTGTAGCGCGCGCAAAATTCAAAATGAGATGCTTACAACAAATTTATTTATTTTGATTTCTCATATATATAAATATATATATCCTATATACAAATACATGCAAATACTAGACATATAGCAAATTGTGAGGCTTAAAAACTAGAGATTTCATGTTTTTATTACATACATACATTTATGACACATGCTCTTAAGTACTAAGTGAATTTTCAATTTTGATCTGCTCTTGATTTCGTATTTTATGTTTTCTTTAGAAACTACGGAGGCACTTGCGTTGGGGAATGGCTTACAAGCAGGAGCAGCTACAGACAAACACATTATGATTATGCTTTAGCTTAGATTATAACTAAAATAAAATGCACTTCCGGTCATCATCCCCGCGTTCCCCGCATTTCAAGGGCAATTGGCATTGGGTGCGTTTCGACATTTGAATAAAAGATTTATCATGCTCTCCAGCTTGTTGGTGCGCGATTCTGTTTTATAGAGATTCGTTTGCATACGATTCACATCCATCGCTTGCTTCTCCTGTAAGACAGCATATACATACATACATATGTATATTAGTTAAGCTATTGAGCATTCAAAGTCAAGGTCATGCGACTTACCAGCGTGCTCAGCCTACTCTTCAGTGTGTCCACCACACTGTAGGTGGCCTGCAGTGACTTTTGCAGCTCATTCGTGTGGATGCGCTCGTTGGCCAGCGATCGCTCGATCTTCTGCAGCCTGCTTACCACCTCTGCGTCCGTGTCATCAATATCGTTCTCCAGATCACGCGCCTCGAATGCATCGTCCGCATGCGAAGAGCTCTTCCGGCAGCTCTGCTGGTCGGCTTGCAGCACGAAGCCCTGCCGGCAGCGGCAGTAGTACGATCCTTGGGTATTCACGCATTGCTGATCGCACGGCTTCTCCGTTTGGCACTCGTTCACGTCCTGCTCGCAGTAGCGACCCGTAAAGCCCGCCGGACAGCTGCATGTCTGCGGCGCCGTGCAATTGCCGCCGTTCTGACAGCGCGTGGTGCAAACAGCTGCATGAGAAATTGAGATCAGGTGGATTATTTTCTGTTCCTTTTTTTTTCAATTATCTTCTTCACACATCTCATCTTCCGATCAAGCTTATATTCTCTCTGTATCAGTGGCATTACTTCTTCTTTTCTAATTGCTTGCTCATTCTTTGTCCCGTCTTCTTTTTTCTCTCCTATATATAGGAACTTTTGGCTTCTCTCTACTCTCTTCTCTCTAATCTCAACTATTTTACTCTCCTATCTCTTCTCTTTTCTCTCTTATCTGCACTTCATCTGCTCCTGCTCCTCTTCTCATCGCTCATAGACCTACTTCTCTCTCCTTCTCTCATATTCTCTCTTATAGTCTTTACTCACGTTTCTTGCACGCATCCGCTCTCGGCGTCTCTCGACTCCATCCCGCACAGCATTCGTAGCTGAGCTGCTGCGCTGGCTTGTGCTTGATGACATCCCGGTAGGCCTGCTCGTGGACCAGCTGGACGCGGGTGCACATCTGGCCGGGATGCGTGGGCGGCTGGCAGGGCGTGCTGATGTGTTTCCAGGTGGGTCGCGTGTACACCTCCGTCGTCTTCACCGGCATCGTGATGGTGCGCTGCTGCACGCAAATGTGTCGCCTGTTGGATGCAAGAGATCGAGCCGTGGATCAGCAAAGTAAAAAGTGAAATTTGGCAAAGACCAAAACGAATCCAAAAACTAAAATCAAAACTGACTTTTCCAGCTGGCATTGGCCTGGTCACAGTCCATTCGCTGTCATAATAAACTGGCCAACAGGTTGGCCAGCGCCCAGAAGATGCAGAAGCGTCTGCATCTGTCGCCTCGACGGCAACAACTCGACGATTGTCAGTCTGTCCACACACACACACAAAATGTCAATCCGCATGTCATTCCGAGCATTGAACAACTCGTCACGAAATGTGTCGAAATCAGCGATGAAAACTTCCAAGTTTTCTATTGGCCCCAAACGAAGTACGTTAACGAATGTGACTCCAATTAACTAGAGCAGTATTTTCATATGGATATGGGAACTTATTTGTAGTCATGAGAATTGCATAGAAGGGCAAAAGCAGTTAACACGGAGTTTTCTTAACATTTATACCAAAAGCTCAACAAAAAATAAAAAACTAGTTATATATTTAAATTTACATAACAAATATGTTTCTTTGTTTTAGTAGTTTTTATTTTTGATACTTTTGTTTCAGGCCCACAGTCGCTGTCAAACTGTGAATGTGTAAAAACAGCATGTGGATACCTTTTTGACCGCCAGCGGCAGCAACACATAAACGTTGATAATAAGCGGGTTTTTCTCGTGCTCTTTTTGAATTTGTTTCGATTTTTCGAACTGCCCAAAAAGTCAAACAATAAAAAAAAAAAGAAGCAACCATAAATTGCAAGTAGCTGGACGAGGGCAACAGTTGCTGCCGCTGCTGGTTGCTGGTGTCGTAATTGGCAATACGGGCCAAACAATTGCAGACGCGTGACGTGGTCAACGACTGACTGACTGACTACACTTGAAGCCGAGGCTCAGCCTGAGACAGCGACTGAGACAGAGGCTGAGGCTGTGCCTGATAGCTGCGGCAGCTTGTTGCTGTGGACGTGCACCGTTGTACACAAATTTGTGACTTCGTTTATGCCATATATATATGAGAAACAAAAGAAAAAGAAATCTAAAACAAAGAATACCTTTAAAGATAAACGACTGCATAATACCCGTTCAAGGTACAGGAAAAGCTTTTGTTTATCGAATAATCGAAAGAAAATGGAAAAGAAATACCAGAAATGTGAAGAAAAGGGCTGAAAATGGAACAGAAACGAAGATGAGAGAAATGTGAATTAGGTAAGAAAAACACCACAGAAGAGAAGAGAGAACAAGAAATGGAAATGGAACATTATATAGGAAATGAAACGAAAAAGTAAAGGGATGAACAAATGGAATGCAATAGATGGAAAAAGACTCAAGAAGAGAAGAAGACTCGAAGAGATGGCATAAGTTAAAAAGGAGAAGGTGGATAAAAAAACAATTTCAAAGAAGATTTGACAAAAAAAAAAAATATGAAGACTATAAAATGAAAAAGATAGGTTGAAAATGAAGAAAAAAATGCAAAAGTCAGAAAAGGAAGAGGAAGAGACAAGAATCCACACTTCTCATTGTCCTAGATATATGTATATGCAGAGTATGCCCAATCAACTTCAGTATATTCAGAAGTAAATATGTATATATTATATATTATTATCAAAAACCAATATACCCGCTTTCACAATGGCATAGCTTACATGAAAAAGACGCGCAGCGGGACTTTTCGCTGGCCATTTGGGGCATTTAACAATTTCTTTATTGCAGCACATGCATATTTATGTTATGTTGCAGGCTGCAACTGGGCTGCGCCATAATTCTCACGTTATTTATGCAACAGTGTGCAGGCCAGAGGCAGAGGGGGCAGGAGAGAGACGGGCCAGTCAGCTAGCCAGCAATAAGGGCGCCACGAGAACAAGAAGAAGACGAAGACGAAGACGAAGACGAAGAGGAAAAAGAGGAGCAACAGCATCCATAGCGAGAACAAAATGCGGAAGTTTTCGTAACTGTGCCAGCCAAAGTGCAACAAGCAACATGCCCCATGCCCCAAACAGACAGACAGACAGACAGAAAGACAGAAAGAAAAGCAAAACATGTTCCCATTCTTTTGACTGCATAAATCTTCAGCCGGATCCGGTGCACTGTGGCAGAGCAGCGACTACGGCTTCATTGGCTTCATTTGTTTAGAAACGTTTAGAGTGAGAAATTTGAAATTTACATTTTTAATTGCTCAGCGAACACCTGTGGCTAGCTGCCCAGTCTGCCACCTGAGCAGACAGCCCTCTGCTGACTGGAAATACCATAAAGAGAGCTGCAGCGACTGCTGCTACTGCCTCTGCCTCTGCCTCTGCCTCGGGCTCTGCCTCTGCCTCGGGCTCTGCTGCTGCTTGATTGTCTTTTTATATAAGGCAGCTAAAGTGTTCAGATCGTTCAGTTTATGGACAAAAATTATAAAAACATCAATCAAAATATATTTCAGATGAAACTGTATTGCAAGCCAATTAATCAAAAAAATATATATGAATTTCATAAAAATAAAAATAAAATATATAAAACAAGTAAGAAAGCTCTAGTCGAGACTGCTCGACTACGAGATCCCCTGAACCCTTCGAGCAACTGATATTTCAATAATAATTCGCACACGCACACACCCACGCACATACACAGCATACGCACGCACGCACGCATTAGCACTCATTAACTGCAGGGCTTACTATGAGAACTTAATTGTTTAACAAATTTGCTTGTCTATGCACTATCTTCATGAAACTTTCAGATAATGCTTATAACATGAATACACATACATATGCCAAAGCATAAGTCGCTAGTACGCAGTAAGCAGCGACTGCCCTTGGGCTGCGTTATTATTGGGCTGGCAATATTATAACAATTGATTTGTTGAATAATTTAATTTCTAGACGTACGATCATAATGAAACTTTCAGAACG